ACTCACCCTTGGGCAGCTGTGTCCTATTATGGGCTGTAACTTAACACATGAGTTTCAGAAGTTGTTAAAGTTTGAGTTCAGGCTAACAAATCTTAACTGTTAAAAAAAAAAAGCCTATGTTAAGAGACAGCAGACCATGAAGAGGCACCTGATTTGATCACCGGATGAATGTCAATCACATTTTATTTTGATTTGTTAAATCTTATTTATACATTGAGAAATAAATATACTAGGACAGATATGGCTATTAAGTGCTCAAGAAGCCACTTAGTTTTTTTCCATTTAAAAAAATTTTCCTCTGGGACTGAGACTTTCAGTATTTAAACTCTGCCAAATGTGTATTTACTGAAAAAAAGGAGAAGGGTGCTTATCCCAGTGATAGCTGAACTGAAATCTGCATTTTCAAATAAAAATAGTTGTTATTATCTCAGCATAAATTTTTAAAGTAAAATTGGCATCAGTAAACCAGATGTCCACAGTTCAAATGATTGTAATTATGATTCAATAATTTCTCTAAAATGAGCTAGTGAGCAGTGAAGGTTCTTTTAACCATATTCTTCCAGACATACTTTACATGATGAATTCAGTGCAATATGTGTAGAGATTTTACTGCACAAATACCTTCATCTCTTACATCCTACTTCATTCTTTCCTGTGAAATGCAAAAAACACACATGTACCATTAAATTTATAGACTTAGATAACTACACTAAAAAGCATGAAATGGAGGAAATACTTGGCTCTTGAGGATCTTGCTCTTTCGCATTGCACACAGCCAGACTCATGATTACTAAGAGGTTTTTAATAGCTCTATAGTCTGGTCTAACTTTTCCAAAGGGTAAGAAATACTTTTTGAAGTATTCACCTATCTGATATAAATAAGACGTTTTATGCAGAAAAATGTTTCCCCAAATGGTAGAGTTAATGCACCTCAAATATGTGAGATATTTCCTTCTAATTGTGCAATGTTTAGTAAAGAGTCCATCTTATTTTATTCATTATACAATTTGGGGAAACATGTTGGTGAAATCTAACATGTCACTTTATAAATCAGTACTGGAAACAACACATTCTTATGGCTTCAATGACAACTCAGATAGCTTTTTAACCATCTGCTTGAGAAAGTTTGTCTGATTTTGGCCTTCAGACAGTGAATGTGGTTTCTCCCTACAGGCATGTTTACATTTACAAAGCTTGCATCTTGCCGGAATGGGTAAAATAATTCTTGCTGTGAAAAAGCTGTAATTGTCTCCCAACTTAGTATCAGGAAGTGTACCTCCTACAGATGTCACTATAATCTTTTCCCCAAAGCAACAGAAAGCCATAAACTTCCAGAACTAATCTAGGATCACTGTTAACTCCAATGGCTCCCGACTGCCTGCCTGCTCCTCCCGGCCCATGCATTGTTTTTGTATTGCCTGATCTGCCTTTGGACAAGCTGCTCTCGCTCCTCAAAAATGCCCTTCCCCTTTCACTCTCTGTCATACTGTTCAGATGTGTCCATTAAATGGGTTCCCTCTACACTTCCAGAAGAGTTCATTTCAATCCCCCCTGTTTTCCTGGAAGATATTGCCATGACATGATCATTTAACACCTCTGAGAGGTAATGTCTGGCAGTAACTAAAGGTGAGGAGTTGGAAGATAGAATTTGAATTCTGGCTCAATCACTTACTAGCTGTGTGACCTTGGGCAAGTCACCTTAACCTTCATGAGCCTCAGTTCCCTCATCTATAAACAACAATATCCGCATTACTATGAAGGATTCATGTTCCTAGTATCGTGTCTGTCATGAGTTCTTGGCATCCTAGCATTACCACCAATGAAGAAAGGTCCCAAAGATGGCAGATGAGCATACTGTGTTCTTGTAATTTGAAGAGTTAACACTCAGAGTAGAATCTGACAGTGCAGCCACCTTGAAATCATGCGGTGATTTCCTTTGAGAAAGCATGTGAGAAACTGTCAAACAGTGGCAAACAAATAGGAAGCTCTCACACACTCTCTTAAAAGACCTGACAGGGGCTGTGTTTAGGATAGCTCATCTTTGGTTATGACACATGACACGAAAAGAAATGAGATGTTGCAGAAAGACACGAGTGGAAGGCAGCAGGGAGATGTGTCCTAGTATCTGTCTGGTGGTGTGGCGACTCCCAGTGCTTCTTGTTACACAGCGGGGACACTCAGGTATGGGGAACAGCCAGAGACAGCTTAAATGAGCAAACTTCAAATGGAGAGCCCACCTTTTAAAAATGTCTTTCCATTATCTTTCATTTGAGATGTAAAATAGGGAAAAGGGGAAAAAATGTCGTTTTATTCTATTTTATGAATAAAATACGTAAAGGAAAGAAAATGAAAAACAAATGACAGCAGCAGCCAGATGAACACCTTGCCTAAAACAAACGAGGGATTTAATGAATTGCAAAATGCCACTTGGAAGGCCTCCTTGGCTGAGACATGCATTCAAATCTTATTTATTTAAATGACTGTAACTATCCCCATGGGCATTGGTCTCAGACTAGAAACTCTGGGTGCTTTTCCTCACCAATTTGAAGAGAAAATTCAATTTACTAGTGCTTTTTTTTTTTTTTTTTTGTAAAATCACAAACCAACTGAGAGCAAGAAATTAATAAAATGATCATTTATATCCCCTCTATTATGCATTTCTAAAGAATAAAAAGAAAAAACTGCCTTTGCATTTATAGAAAAGAAATTTAGAAAAACACGTTTACAGTGTTGTTGTTGTTTTACACTCCTTTGTTCAACTGTGCTGGGCTTTTAAAATTCTTGGATTGCCTTTTCATCTTGCAGGAAAGTAAGGTAACAATTTTTCTTAAGCAATTGGCAGTGATGTGCTTAAGTGCTTAACCTTCTCTTCTGCAAGGAAGAGCCTGGGCCAGGGTGGGGGATGAGGAGAGGAGGCTGCTCAGAACCTGCCATTCAAGGCTGGCGGCAGGGTTCTATAGGCTGTGTAAAACAGGAAGGTGGTGGCAGCAACTTACAGGTGTGCCAAAGAAAATAAGTCCGTGTGCTAAACTCTGGCATGCATGCGGGAGGTTGCCGAGGCATGGCAAAGGCCCAGGCGGACTTTGGATGTCCTGCCCCAGAAAGTAGTAAGCCTGTTCCCATTTATGCCAGGAGCATGGTGAGTGGCTAGATGTTTTGATGTTATAAAAACTCCTGGTGCAGAAATCTGCCACTTGGCTCACTTTCATTTGGTCATTTTTCAGATTAGAAACAACTGAGGGAGAGGATGGGTTGTAATATTCACACCTTTTAAGCAATGCAGTCAGTTGCAGAGTAGCAGCCCATTCTAGGGTAAGCAGGCAATGCTATCTGGTCAAATTTCTATTCTATGTTATGAGTGAAATACATACAATGGGACATTCCTTTATTTTCCCATATAAAAGAGTTTCTGCAAAGACCTAGATGACAGAAAGAACATAATGTATGCTTTATTTTAACCCTTCTTCTGTTTTATTCTCTATGCTAAACTGTAAACAATTTTGGGGGTTAATTCGTCTTAAAAAGTGGGCCATGATTTCAGATTAAACTTCCTAAGTTCACAATGATCAATGAACTCAGTGAAAAATTTTCCCTGTATTTCTTTTTACTGCTTCCACTAACCAAGCCCTCAGCACAAGACCTCCTGGTCTTACACAATTTATCCAAAGCTCTGGGCAGGTCAAGAGCCCTTTACCCCTTCACTGGTGAATTCAGGGCTATTGTATGAGACACACATTCTTTCCTTCCCTTTTCACTTAAAGAAACATACCAAACCTGAATAGACTCCAGGCTAGATTGGGGTAGGGAGTGATTTTATTAGTCCTAACATAGCTATTGACACATGTTTGAATACAATATAAGAAGAAAGAAAGAAAGAAAGAAAGAAAGAGAAAGGAAGAAAGAAAGAAAGAAAGAAAAAAATCTCTTATTTTATGTCTTAAAGGGAAAATTAGTTATAATTTAATTTCTAAGAAGAAAAATGTAAAGAATAAAATGGCCTAACATTTCTTTTTTTTCATCACACATATGAGAAATATAAACTAAAAGGACATCTGGAAACTAACATTATTCAGCAATCAGAACGGAAAAATCCAAACCATTGAAGTTTTGATGGAGACAAACAGCAAGACTTACAAAGAAGAAAGCTGTAACCTATTGAAGCACAAGAAAAAAAAAATCCATATGCATTTTACCTTTTGGGCAGTTCCATAGCAAAGTTCTATTTCAGAAGCTCTTTGTAATATGAAACCCACTGTAGATAAGATACAGGGGGAAGATAGTCTGTTTTGCAGCAGCAGGAAATCAAATTGGTTCCAGAAACAAAGTTACATGACAAATGGTTTAATAGTACTGCCAGGTTTGGAAAGCTTGATTGAGTTATTTTTCATAATCATTAAAAGAAGATTTTTAAATAACGTTGCCATAGCTATTTAGATTTTTTTAGAAGGGAAGGGTGTTGCGGAGGTGGGAAGACATCTAATTTCATTGGCCTTTTAACGAATGTGTTATAATTTGTTATCAAAATTTAAGAGCTCAGTGGTGATTTATTAACTTTTGTTTGCAACAAAAAAATTTCAGACAAGCACAATACTTGATTGAACATAACTAATATATGTTATAAAGATTAAACAGATTAGCAAGTATATATTTTATTATCATATGCAAGTTATTTTTAATTTTAACCTTAGTAACAGTCTGCTTTATTTTACAAAAGCATCTGGAAAAGTTCATTAAGTCTTAGGTGAGCCTTAGATTTTAGGAGAGACTTCTAAGCCGTTAGCAAGATGTATCACTGACAAAATAACCCGGCAGCTAATACCCCGTAGGTGAAATGAAATGAAATCATTCTTCTGACTGAAGTCAGGAACAAGTTAAACATCACTAGACCACAGCACACGACTACAGAGATTTAAAAGAAATCATATTTAAATAGGATGTGACTAGATGTTTAGGACTATTTTCTAAAAAAAGTAAAACAACTTTTCCCCTTCAGTACTTACAGTCTTTGAAGACTAGAGCTGGGTCTCTGTGAGGCAGGACTTGGGCAATGATGTGTCTCAGGGATTCCAAGGTTCTGTCCATCTTGGGTCTGCCTGTGTGAGCCTGCTGCACAGTGTCCTCATGCCTGGATTCTTGCAGTCCTGGACTGAATTTGTGCAGCTCATTGATGCACAGGATTACCAAAGAATCCCTTTTAACATCTGCCAATCAGACATTTCCCAGACTCTAAAGACCCCTCAGGGGGCCCTCCTCCCAGGCTCACTTATCTTTGTTGTGTGCTGAGCTAATTAGCTCTAAAGGCTGGCTGACAGGCAGGTTTCCATTGCTTCCTTCTGTTAAACACACCCACCTACAGGCTAGCTGGGGAAGCTCCCTAGTCGTGGGAACAGCTTTCCTCTCCAACCAGATTTTGCCTGAATGGCTTGCAGCTTTCTGACTTGGGTATTTCTTTTGGTCCCCCATCTTCAAATGTGCTCTTCTCAGGCATGTAGAAGCAAGAAGGTTATGATTTCTCAAGGACATTTCCTTAGTAACGAAGGAGATTCCAGGTCAAGGCTTCCAGCTCAGAATCAGTATAATCTAAATTCTTATTTGGTAAAGAAATGCTATAAAGGTTGTGAATGTAGCCAGGCACCAGATTATGCCTCTATTTGAATTCAGGAGCATCTATTTGGAGGCCTAGTTTTTAGTCCCCCTCCCTGGCTCTTCCCATCCCCCAGTCCAAATTATAGACACTTTAGCCTGATGAGCAGTGGCAAACAAAAACTCACAGACTGACTTTCGGCTTGTCTGGGAACTTTGTTTTCCTATTTATCCTTTAAGGCAAATCATTCCCAAGATTGATGTTAATGAATTCTGATATCATTCACTCCCTTTCATTTCATAATAATTACTTCTATTAAAAATTGCAGGAGATTCACTTAAGTACATTAACTTAATGGGTTCCAAATTTTCCTTTTAATAAAATGTTATTTTTTGCCATTTCCAAAGGGAAAAATAATTGCAGAAGAAAAAAAATGTATTGTTCAAGAGAATATAGGTAGTTATTAAAAGATCTTAAGAAAACAGATTCTTTTTCTGTTTATACTACTCACAGCATTCATCTTTCCACAGGAGACATAAATATAAGTCATGAGCTGCCAGTGCGATAATAAGGATTTGGACCAGATATAAAAGAACTGATTTTAATGGCTACAACCTACGTTAGTTGTTGAAAACTTGTTAAAGACTTCTTTACTTTTATTTAAAATATTTTTTCCAGGGTAGACACAAGAGGTTGCTTACCACTGTTCTTTCCAATTTTCAGATTCCACAATTATGCTGTATTATATGATTAACTGTAATCAGTCCTTTAAAGTCTATAAAAATAAAATGTTTTCTATGTGACCAGTTTCTTCAGCTAGTTGGTAGAAGGGTGGTGGGCTTAATAAAAGGAAACTGAAGGAATGGGCTGTAATAATAATTATTATTATAATGACTGTCAGTTAGCAAATGCCCACAGCGAGTATATGCCACACACAACAGGCATGAGGCTGCCCCAGAGTGCACACCTATTATAATAATAAAAAAAAAAACTTGAAAGAAGTAGCACTTCATGTTAAGAAATGTATTTAGGGTCCGAAAGTATACTTACCATGGGCTGTACCAAATAGAAAATCATCAATAGCTTTGCCACCAGTTTATCACTTAAAGGAATATTGGATAGTTTGTAGACAAAAAACCCCCAAACTGTTATACATTGATTAGACACAAAGTATAAATGAATGTAAGTACTTTCAGTGTGATATTCAATTGGAAACCAAAATATTAAGTTTCCCACTAGGGAAACATGCAAAATATGAATTCTCAAAGGACTGAGACTGATAATATAAAAACAAAAATTAGAAATGATTGATGCTGGGATTTCAATTGGTAAATGGATTTTTTATGGGCTTAAATTTAATCCCAATGTTACATAAAAATATTTGGTTGTGCAGTGTAGATTTGAAAATATAAGATCTAGAATTTGACTTTTGTTATCTGAATAACTTTAAAGAAGTCACTCAACTTCTCTGGGCTCAGAGTCCATATCTAGAAAATTAGGGAGTTGAGCTGGATGCTCTCTCTCAGATCTAATATTGCAAATGAGCACAAATATTCTCAAATGTTTTCTAGCTTTCTGGAAAGTCATATATTTATTTCCTAAAAGCTGGACTGGTCTTCAAACAAATCATTTCTATTCCCCCAGTTGGCCGCATATCCATGCATCAGTATGAGAGACACAAATTTATAGGGTGATTCAGAGATACCACTAACGCTAACTAAAATGTAAGGCAAGAATTCATTAAATAAAACAATCTTCAACCTCTACAAGATTTTTCTAAAGAAGGCAAGTTAGAGAGCCAAAAACCAGCTTTGCAAAGATAATCTCATAAAAATATCATGTTCTTTAATGTTATATTTTAAAAAATGAAAATAAGAACTCTAGGAAGGAAGGTTATACAACATTACAGTCTGTTACTATAGTTTCTTTATCTCATTAGGCCCTTTCATTCAGCAGTTTTCTGAAACCCTTTTTCTTCCTTGTCTCCCATAAAGATGTCTCATCTTAAAGTGCCGTTGGGAGACAGTCTAGAAAAATTCAGCCGTTTCTGACCATTCTCTTTGATGGAAGAGCCTGAGAAATCCCTGGGCAGTGTGTCTATAGGGTGTCCCCCCCAAAATTTACACACACATTTTGAACAATTACAAAGGCAGTATTTATTTTATTTTTTAAAAATACATTTTTATTGATTTCAGAGAGGAAGGGAGAGGGAGAGAGAGATAGAAACACCAATGATGAGAGAGAATCATTGATTGGCTGCCTCTTGCATGTCTCCACTGGGGATCAAGCCTGCAACCTGGGCATGTGCCCTTGACTGAAATCGAACCTGGGACCCTTCAGTCCACAGGGCAATGCTCTATCCACTGAGCCAAACCAGCTAGGGCAAGGCAGTGTTTATTAAAATACATTTCATTTTCAAAATTGAGCTATCAGCTGTTAAAGTGTGTATACATTTTTTTTTGGATACCCTGTATTTTGGTACAGAGCCTATATATAATTCATATGTTAGATTTCAATGTCAGCCTCAATCATCTGTAGGAATGTGGCTAAAGCAAAATCAAAGTATTGAGACAAGGGTACATGACTACAGTGAAAACCAAATGATGGTTTTACAAATCCTGTTAGAGTACTACTCAGAAATCTGAGAAACAGCGCTCAACTGACATATTCGGCGATCAAGCTGTCATCCCATGGTGCAAGGGGAAGGCTCAGTGCAGTAGCACACTCACCGAGCTTCCAGGAAGTACAGAACTCTTTGAGATGAGGAATCAAGGTGGTCTGTTTTGTACCATTTCGTGCACAATGTAACAAACAGTCTATGGAAACATTAATTTTGCTGGTAAAGAAAATTTAGTCTTGTCATTGCAGTGATATTTTTGTTGTTGAATAGTTCATTTCAGGTACAAAAATGATAAGAAGGCAGGGGGCATAATTGAAATAACATCCAGAATGTTAGAAAACAATGAATGCACCAAAGAAACATCTTTAGTGAAAAACAGGAAGGAACTCTCACCATCCTCCTTGCCTCCCCACTTGCTAATCCACTCTGCCCTGGAAGAAGAGATCAGGGTAAGTGAAGCAGGAGCGGGGCCAGTAGGTGAGGCTGCAGTGAGGTTTTTGAGACTCCAGATCCTAAAGATTTCAGCATAAGCCATGCAGACTCCAAAGAATATGCCTGCAGTCACTGAGCCTGAGCCAATCTATCACTACTCATCTCTAAAGCATAGGTCACTCAGGGAAGGAGAGCTCATGAATAAGATTTAGGAAGATTATCTTCCCTGAAATAATTTTTTCACTTACTTACTAATGCCTTTATTCTTAAAAACTAAATAACTTAAGATAAAGTAAACAAAATGGAAAAGAATTGAATTCATGCAGTTAAATAAATTAATAGAGAGCAAGTAGTTTACAAAAGCAATGGGAAATGACTGACAGCAGCTCTCTGCAGATGCCAATGGGAGATGGGTGGAGGGAACTGGAAGGGCCTAAATGCTGATTGGCAAAGAAGGTCCAAGTGGAGAGTGAGGATGAAGAAAGGCCATGGAGAAACGGACTTTGCAGAGGTGATGACTAATGACTGTTTAGTGTCAGCCAGGAAAAGACAGTAGAAGGAATGAATGGCTGCTTAGCATCAACTTTGTTTACTCTCAACTGGGAAGGGACCAATGCTAAGTTTGAATCAAGGTATTCTCATAGAGGGTCAGTTAGAAAGGCAACTTCAGATTAGGTGACAAAACAAATTTAAAAACACAGGCAACATAAAAGAACAATCTCAGGCGGCCATCGTAGGAGCGCCAGAGGTCAAAATGAAGTTCAACCCCTTTGTGACTTCTGACCGGAGCAAGAACCGTAAAAGGCATTTCAATGCACCTTCCCACATTCGAAGGAAGATCATGTCTCCTCTTTCCAAAGAGCTGAGTCAGAAGAACCATGTTCGGTCCATGCCCATCCGAAAGGATGACGAGGTTCAGGTTGTTCGAGGACATTACAAAGGGCAGCAAATTGGCAAAGTAGTCCAGGTTTACAGGCAGAAATATGTCATCTACACTGAACGAGTGCAACGGGAGAAAGCTAAGGGGACAACTGTTCATATGGGCATTCACCCCAGCAAGGGGGTTATCACTAAAGCTGGACAAAGACCACAAAAAGATCCTTGAACGGAAAGCCAAATCTCACCAAGTAGGAAAGGGAAAATACAAGGAAGAAACAATTGAGAAGATGCAGAAATAAAGTAATATTATATACAACTTTCATTAAAAACTTAAAATGAAAGAAAATAAAAGAATAATCTCAGACATTTGTTCATTGATATTTCACTATATTTAAGCACATGAATAATTAGAAATTAACAATATCCTATCTACAGATTAAAGAATGTACATTTCCTCATTTTTTATAGAAAACTATATAAAATGCTTTCATGAAATAATTTTCCTTCCCACCAGATAAAAACCGTGAGTGAAGTGCCCTTTTCCCTTGCCAGGGCAGTCAGAGTCAGCACCCTTAACGAGAAAGCATCATGAAAGCAAGCCCCTCCTTTACCTGAGCCTTCTGTGTAGAAGGGGATCCTGAATAAGTTTCTGTCACCTTGACTGTGTTGTGTAAACAGTTATCCAGGTCTGCCACTGTATTTGCTTTCCAAAGAGAAGTAAAATTGATTCTTTAAGAAACATTTTATAGGTCAAAGATATTATTAAGGAAGGCTTAGCTAATTTACAGGTTAACACTTTCAGGATAAACTCAGTTAAAGGTGGAAGAATTTGGATGC